GGTGGCGCATGCCTTTAATCCCAGCACTTGGGAGGCAGAGCAGGCATATCTCTGTGAGTTCAAGGTCAGCCCAGCCTCATCTACATAGCAAGTTCCAGGTCAGTGGGGCTACAGGGAGACCCTGTCTCAAAAAGACCCCCCCCCAAAAAAATTAGAAACTAGGGGTCTAAGGGAGATGGCTCAGTGCATAAAGTACTTGCTAACACACGCATACACACACACACACACACACACACATACACACAAACATAAATTATATCTAATTGCATCTAAGTTCAGACACTAGGTTTGTGATCTTTTTCTTTCTTTCTTTTCTTTCCGCCTGCCTCTGCCTCCTGAGTACTGGGATCAAAGGCATGTACCACCATGCCTGGCCGCTGGTAACTTTTTAAAAACTCAGTTTTGGCCGGGCTACTTGAGACCCCTTCTCACATTGTCAGCTCCCAATAGACAAAAAGAAGCATTAAATTTGCACTATCAGCATAACAAATCTCATAAACATGAGTGAAAAAGACATGCAATACAAGTTATATACAACACTACTTATAGATTGATACAGTGTATCACAAGAGAAAAACAGAATTTTAAAGAGAGGAACAGCTGCAAATCGGAACATCCAATGTCCCTGAAAGGAGAAGCAATCCCTGAACAGAGAAGACCAGGAAATATGCCAGAGGGGAGGTACCCCTCTACCCTAAACCTGAGCCTGGGAGACCTCAGGTCTACAGAAAGAGGGGCTCAGGCTTGAAGTTGGGTGTGTACCACCACGCCTTTAATCCCAACACTTGGGAGGCAGATGCAGGTGGATCTGTGCAATCAAGTTCAGCTTACTCTTCATAGGAAGTTCCTGGTCAGCTACGGCTATAAGGAGACCACCCTGTCGGGAAAAACAACAAACAAGCCAGACTTGGTGAGCTCGCCTTTAATCCCAAGACTCAGGAGGCAGAGGCTGGTGGATCTCTGTGAGTTGAGGCCAGCCTGGTCTACACAGTGAGTTCCAGGCCAGCTGGGGCTACAGGGAGACCCTGTCTCAAAAACAAACAAAACAACAACAAAAAACCAAAACCCCTAATAACAACAGAGGACTAAGCCAAGAGTGATAGCTCATGTCCTGTAAACACTTGGGGGGCTGGGGCAGGGGTGTGGAGTTCAAGGCCTGCCTGGGCTACAGGGTAAGACTTGTCTCAAAAAAAAGCTTAGAGAGATGGAGGGAGGAGACTGGGTAAAGTTGGCTGGGGTACAGTCCACTGGCTGAGGGCATGCTTGGCACCCACAAGCCTTGGGTTGGATTTGGATCTCAGCACCACAAATCTAGATCTTCCACTCTGCTCAAAGTACAGCAGTTTGGTCCTCCACACACCCTTTCTCAGGCTACAAGAGAGTGCTCTGAGGTGATGGACCAGGTGTAGGGACTGTTACCAAAGCCAGGCCAACACACACCTTTATAAATGGGACATACTGTCAGCCCTACCATCTCTCTTCCTGGTTTTCTTTTTACCTTTCAAAAATACCATTGCAGTCAGGCCTGGCGGCAGTTAATCTCAGCACTAGGGAGGCAGGTCCCTGTAAGCTCAAGGCTAGCCTGGTATACACAGCAAGTTCCAGGACATTTGGTCCTACATGGTGAGACCCTAACAAAAAAAAAAAAAAAAAAAAAAAAAAAAAAAAAATCTTTCCATTGTATATAGTTTGACCTCACACATTTCTAATATTTTCCTTATGACAGACCAACAAAAGTCAGCAACAGACCTTCCTGACCTGCCTCTAAATGTTTCCACACATACAACAGAAGGGTTCCAGCCTGGGATCCTCAATCAGCACCGGGAGGGCAGTTTCAAACTGGAGCCAAGGGTTCCCCGCCCCACTGCCTGACCAGTTTGGAAACTGGGTGGTCCCTATGCCACACCAAGAGGAGTTTCCCCAGACCTCAGAGGCCATGTGGGCTGGGGAAGCACAGAGATGAAGCCTCCTGAAGTCCCTTGCAGCCTGTATGCCTCCAAAGGGGCTGACGCCATTTTTTTCTGGGGCGCCTTCAACTCTGCGCAGTCCCTTTTAGGAACGGCTTGAGGGTAAGGTCTCACTCTAGTTCAGACTGTCCTGAAATTCACGATGCAGCCCAGGCTGGCTTCCGATCCACAGCAATCCTCTTGCCTCTGCCTTCCAAGCACTGGGATGGCATGCGAGGCACCGCTGGTCTGGGCATGCCTTTCTCAAGGAAGTTCCAGAGTTGTAGGTCACCATCACCAGAACCAAGAGAAAGCAATTCTCTCCTGAAGGGCAGTGAGGGAAGACAGGAGAGCACCAACCCACTGCTCTACCTGCTACCTTTTTGAATCTGGAGATTCAAGATGAACACATCTCTCTCTGCAGCACTCTCCAACCAGGCACACAGGGATGGGTCTTCCCAATACACCAATAAAGTGCTAAGCTTCTTTTTAAACCCCATGATCTTCTTCTTTCCCAAACAGTGAGAGGGACAGGCAAAGTGAGGGTGAGCTCTAGTCCTTTACCCTGTGTCAGCCGTTGATGGGGGGGTGGGGGGAAAGAGCCTGACTCAGGCCCCAACTCATCCCTTCCTGGTCTCCCTACCTCCCCAGCTGCCAGGGCGCACCCAACATTGCCTCCTGGATGCCACCTCTCCGCGCCCACAGAGTCCTACAAAGCTGCCCCGCAGGGCTCCCTCCCCCATCTTCTGGGCCCATGGCCATTCCCTTCCATAGGGTTCCTGATGTAGGAGAAGTGAGCCCTTCTCCATCTCCTCAAAGAGGGATGGGAGACCCCGGTCCTTGGTTCGGCGTCTCTTCCGGTATCAGTTAACTCTTCACGCAGGTTCCACCCCAGCCACCCACTTGCAGGTTTCTGTTTTCAACAGGACCGGTCTTTTAGGGCGCTAGGCATTGCGTGGGCATCTTTATGGAAAGTGGCCCGGACAGGTTCTTTACAAGAAACCACAAACCTGCAAGAGATGCAGGTCGACACTCACCCCAGCAACTTGTCCAAAACAGCCCTGAGGCCCGGATCCCAGGGGCTGGAGAGACTGACGGGAGCCGCCGAGGCCGGGATCGGCCCAGCCCTGCCCCGCAGGCTCCTCCCTCCGAGCTCCGCCGCAAAGTCCCCGGCTCCACCCCAGCCGCCTCCGAGCCTGACCAGGTCCAAAGCCCAGCTGCCCGGGGTCACCGGACCTATGGGCTGCAACCGCTGCTCGCCCGCAGTGCCGGCCCCCGGGTCCCCGCTGGCCGCGATCCCGCACCGCGCCGGCCCCGGGGTCCCCGCAGCGGAACTCAGCCCGGCCCAGGCCTGCCAGGGGCCTCATCCCGCCGCCCGCGCGCAGCCGCTCCGGGTCCCCGGCCAAGGTCGCCGCGCGGCGGAGTCGCTGCACCCCGGGCGCACTCACCGAGCGCAGCCGAGCCTGGGCCTGCAGCCGCCGAGCAAAGCCGAGCCGAGCCGAGCCGAGCGGAGCCCAGGCCTCCGGGAGCCCTAAGTACCCGCGCCGCTCCGCCCGCCGCCCGGCTGACTCGCCACGTGACCCGCAGGCCGCACCCCGCCCCCGCGCGCCCCAGGCCCCGCCTCCCGGGGCTCTGTAGGCTGAGCCCAGGCCTGCGGGTCGCGGTACCTGGGGAACCGGCTGAGGCCTCCACGCATCCGAGAGAAATGGTCTAGGTCCCCGCCGCGGGAAGACGAAGCTTTCTTCTTTCATCGGGAAGCCAAGGTGGAGCTGGGTACTTGGGGATAGCCGGCATCCCAGAGGAGCCTCCTGGCTTTCAAATTCTGAAACTCGGAGCAGCATGTCCAAGAGACTAGCCATAGGAACTAGAATTGGGATGGAGGCGTAGCCCAGTGGTAGAGCCCTTGCTTAGCTTACCCGGGTCCCTGGGTTCAGTCCCCAGTAGGGCTTTGGGTCTAGCCCAGTGGTAGAGACCTTGCCTAGCGTATTCAGGTCCCTGGATTCAATAGACCATTGGTAAATCTCTTGCCTAGCATGTCCAGGGCCCTGGGTTCAGTCTCTGAGAAAAACACAAGCCCTTAGACCCTTTGTCACCAAAGCGACTTTCGAAAATTAGAGCTCTTCTTCTGTCAGGCCATGGTACCATCTAGAAATATTACTCCACCCTCCCCCGTTCTCTGTATGGCAGTTAGCTGCCCTGCCTTTTCTGACAGATCAGAGTATCGCCTTCCAGTGGGGTCCTGCCCCTCCCGGGTCAAGCATCCTCTGATCTCTCAGGTACTTAGGAGGGCCCAAAGTAGGCATGGCCCCATGACAGCCTGGTATTTTAAGAAAGCTATAGTCTAGTGGATTCCAAGGCTGTCTGTTAGAGCCCCCAGATGCCTGGCCACCAGTGTCACACAGCCACGGAGCCCTGCTAGGGTCCATCATAGAGCCTAGTCACTGGTATGCTGGCTCACCTGGTAGGCGCCAAGCTAAGGACTGGAGTGGAAGAGGAAAAATTCCTAGAGTCTAAGCGTGGTTATTGAACCCCATTTGAGTGGGATACCCAAGGACCTCAAAAAACCTATGAGAAAGCAGATCCACGTCAGGTCCCAGCTGTTCCTCACCCCAGCCAGTCCTGAGAGTTGAGGACTCCAGATTGCAAACCAGTACTTTGGTCTTCTACCTGAACCCAAAGGGGGAATACACACACAACCACAGTACATCTCTCTGTACAGCACCCGGATGTGCTTTATCTCAATGTGTTAATAGAGGAATAATGTTTTTAAAAAATGTGTATGTGTGTCATCAGGTCCTCTGGAGCTGGAGTTACAGGGTGTTATGAACCGCCCACCATGGGAACTGGGAACTGAACTTGGGGCCTCTGGAAAAGCAGCAAGTACTAACTGTGGAGCCATCTCTCCAGTCCCAACGAGTTAACTTTATCTTTCGTTCTTTGTTTTGTTCTTTTGAGACAGGATCTCCCTGTTGACCCCACTGTCAGGGAAACTCCACTGTGTAGTCCAGGCCTCTCCCTTCAGAGTGCTGGGATTAAAGGTGTGTACCATCAGGTGGACCCAGCCTCCAAGATGCTAATTTGAAGCAAAACAAAGTAAACAACAACAAATTGCAAAGCTTAGTGCTGCATTCATGTAATGTCAGCCCTTGGGATGTTTGGAGGCTAGGTTAGCCTGGCACCTGGTAGAGAATCGCTATGTATCAATGATTGTGCACAGGAACGAAGGGGACCTTGGCTTCATCTGCTAGGTTTGGGACTCAGGGGCTGCTCTCAGAATGTTCAGAGGGAACTTGGCCTGAGTGTGTAAAAGTGTCTGCCTGCTGAACATGTGGATGGAGGCAGGGCATACATCTAGAGAAATGAAAACAGGTGTCCTCACATTAACTTTACCCAAAATGCATTCCAGCGTTACTCACAGTGGCCTAAAGGTGGAAGCAGCTCCTGTCCATCAACTGATGCAAAAACAAGGTGTCATGTAATCACAAAGCAGCATAAGAAAAGAATGAAGGGCTTGGACAAACTACAACATGGATAAACCTAAATACTACACTGAGTGTCTGGCGGGGGGTAAGGACCACATATTGTATGAGCCTGTTGATGGGAAGTGTCCATGAGAAAACCAGTCTACCGATGGAAGGTAGATTAATGCCTTACTCTGGAAGGACATCTGAGTCTGGGAAGTGACGCTACAGTCTGTGCAGTCAGTAATAGAATGTTCCGAAACTGAATGTGGTAAGAGTCACACAAGCCTGTGAACATCCTAAATATCTCTCTTTTCATGTCATCTCTAGCCAGAGGAGCAGACAGGGAGAAAGGGGAGCAAAGGCTATCAGTCATTCTGGAGTCCTGCTTCTCTCTCTGCTCCGCCATGTTTCTGAGACTCTTGGTGTCTGTGCCTCTCATTAAAATGCCCTGCTCTCTTCCCTCATTCTCTGAATGTCTGGGCTAGGGTCTGTAACCCTGTATCCTTCCAGGAGTATCTGGGCTGGAGGAGGGACACTGTCTAACTCAGAACAAACCAGCCATAAACAATGCGTATGTGCTAAGCCATTAATATACACATATATGTGCTGGTTCCTTTCTACAATGCGGAGTACAAGTACATCTTTATAATATAGAATATGAGTGTCGCTATCTATCTTGTCTCTGCCTCATCCTGTCACCTGAGCTACAGAGCAAGTTCAAGGCCAGCCTGGGCAACTTAGTGAGACCCTGACTCAAAATGTAAAGAGCTGGACATATAGCTCTGTGGTAGAGCCCTTGCGTAATCTTCATGAGGTCCAGGGTTTCATCTCTAGCACCAAACAAACAAACACACCTAGAAAAGCAGGACAGGGTCACACTCTCATGCCTACTACTGGGCATTTCTCTGTCCCTTTGCTTGGGGCTGTTGTTCTCAGCGTCCTCTGTAGTGAACCTTCCTTCTCTGCTCTGTCCTAGTACTGCTCTGAAAGCCCTCTTGTTCCCACCAGGTCTGTGGACATTGGTATCCTGTCATAGAAGTGGGTCTGTGTTCTAAGCCAGGACTGCCCCACTGAAAATACCGTTGTTCTCTGACTTCTCACATGGGGAGTGTCCAGACCAATTGTTCTGAGTTTCCAGTACTAAGTCAGTGGCACTATAGCCCTGTATCAGTTTTCTCGACCAACAACTGGATGATACTTGGAATCTGGAGCTGTGTGACCTCTCCTGAGTAACTGACCCTCTCTTCCCATTTCTTACCTGACTAGTGAAAATGGATTTACTTGTTTGCTCATTTGTGGTAGAGGATGAACTTAAACTTTGATCCTGAGCCTCCACTTCCAAGTGCTGGGATTACAGGCATGCACCACCACAGCTGCTTTATGAGGTGCTGGAGGTTGAAGCTCTGGGGTTTCCTGATTATGAGGCAGACACTCTACCAACTGAGCTACCTCTCCAGGCTGTGTTGTCCCTTATATTAGGGGGAACCGACTGGGCTGCACTTCTCTTTCCCTTTCCACACCCCAAACCATGACAGCACCGAGCAGCCTCCTAAATACAGTCAGGTGCTTCTGAGGGGGCAGAATTGGCTCTTAGAGGGTCTGACAGCCCCTCTGGAGACATGACTGAAGCCAATCAGAACTGTAATGGTGATATGGGGGTCTTGGGGTGTCTTTGAAAGTGATGGAGCCTCTCTCAGCTCTGTGTATGTAGCCTGAGAGGCTAGGGTCCCAAAACTCAAAGGCCACCAAAACTGTCACATGTCAGAGTCTCTGGGGTTCTTGTGTTTTGACCTTGAAAAATGAAACCTCTGTGGACTGCAGAGGGTGGATTTTAGAGAGTATTTTATTATAGGGAGCTTGGGAGAGCAAAAGAAGGGAGAGCTCCTGTATAGCTGGAGGGGTGGGCTAGCACTGAGCCTCACTGCCTAGAGTTAATAAGGCTTTAGTGGTTGGAGGAAGAACAGGGAGGATGAGCTGGTCAATCCAGTTCCCATCCATTCCAGGTGTCCAGGTTGCTCTCCTTTAGGGAAAGGAGATAAGGAAAAACAACAACAACAAAAAAACCAGACCCCTTCCTGACATCTCCAGCCTCTAGCTACAGCAGAACCAGAGACTGATCACTTTTCTTTGGGGTCTTTTTACCTTAAACTGCCTAACTCATTTCTGCCGATGCCTGTCCCCATCAGTCAGCATCAGTGTGACTGGCACACTAGCCCTGGAAATCAATGTCCTCTGAGACTCAGGCAGCAGGAAGGGCCTTCTAGAGGTATTGGCTCTTTGTTCTTACAAGCCTGACAGAGTGGCTGAGTTCCCCAGTAGGGGAAAGAGTATGTCTCTAGAGGAGGGCCTCTTCCCTCCAGTTCGAAATTACAGGAGGAGCTGGGCCTGGTGGTGCATGAGAGTCAGGCCAGCCTGGTCTATATGGTGAGTCCCAGGCCAGCCAGGGCTACATAGTGAGACCCTGTCTCAAGAAACAGAACAAAACAACCAACCTCCCCAAACCCCAAACCAAAAAGCAAGCAAACAAACAAAAAAAACCTAAAAAACTAAAAACACAGCAACAAAAATTACAGAAGAGTTTCGTGGTCTGTTTCCCGACCATAGACGAAAATCTGACTAGCTGTCTCGTCCTCCAGCCACCATGGCTTCCTCACTCACCATGATGGCCTGTAACCTCACACTGTGAGCTGAAATAAACCTCTTTTCTCTTTAAATAAAAAATTACAGGTGTGGCGGCACACGCCAGTCATACTCACCCCTGGGAGGGTGGAAGCAGAATGGTCAGGAATTCAAGGTTATTGTCATCTACACTGTGAGACAGAGTCTAGTCTGAGCTACAGGAGACCCTGTCTCAAAAAAGAAGACACAAAGTGAAGCCCAAGTACAGTAGTCAGGCGTGGTGGTGCCCACTGCAAGCCCAGCACTCAGGAGGCTCAGGGTTAAGAAGGCAGATGGGATGTTTAAGCTAGTAGTGCCTATGTAAGGTCCTGAAGGAAATAAACAGAACTGACAGAAGGGAGGCCACTGTTTTGCAGTGAACTGAGTACTAGGCCTCAGCAGGCCGGGCTAAAATAAAAATGGAGTCACTCACACTAAGGTTCCATTTCCCCCAGCTGGAATAAAACTGTTAAGCTAACCA